TTAATGTTAAAACAGAAAAAAAAAATTCAGCAAATTCTTTCTCTAGATCACAGTTACCTTGGTGTAACTATCAATAGTTATAAAGTAAAATACAGTTTTACTTTCTAACCTTCTCTTTGCTATGTGACACAAGCTGTACTAGAATGCATCCTGAAAAAATAACAGAAGGGCTGCACAAAAAAAATGAAGTCACCTGGCCTCACAGAAAGCTTTATAAATGATTGTTCTAGATTCTAAAAAATCTCGTCTCAACTTAAAATTCACTATATCTCTTCATTTGTAGTCCAGGGGAACACAGAAAGTTAAAGGTTTAGAGATCAAACTTCACAGAAACTTTAATGGAAAGTGCCAAGTTCAGCTCCTTTGTTAATTACAAGCAAAAGAAAATCTTGTCTTTTTATGGGGAAAAAACAAAGACAAGTGATTTAAATCATGCTCCGAGTGAAAATTCACTTTTGAAAATCCAAATTTTCTTGCCATATTTAGCAAATGCCAAAACAGTATTTACAGCAACATCAACAGTGCAGCTGAGAGGCTGCCAATATTGCCTCCAACTGTGTGAAACACGTTTTTCATCCATATTCTTTGAAGTCTTTTCTTCAATTTTCCCCTTCCAAAGACACAAAACTTAAAAAGAATTTAACACGTTGTGGTATTTGTATCACTGGAGAAACAACTTTTTCAGCAATCATTAATTGCCAGCTCCTGCATTTATTTTTAATTGCTCTCTTTTGTTGTAACCCAAGAAAGAAAACCAAGAAATTATCCAAGTGGGAGACAGCCAAACTTGGGTGCCAAAAATAAACCTGCCTCTAAGTAAGGCTCAAAACAGAGATTATTGTAGGCTTTCAGGAAAGACTAATCATCAACAAAACAGTTTGCACAGTTTGCTAAACTACAGTAAGCAATTCCCAGTAAGAGAATGGCAAAGCAGCAGAAGTGAAAAAACAGCAAAGTGCTGAAATAGACAATAGAAATAGTCTATGCTACTTGATTCATAAGTTGCAACTTCAGTACTTCCCCCTGAATGTCTTCTTTCTTTGCACGAAAGAAGGGGAACAGAGCAAAACAAAGTTCTGGTGCTACAAACTGGTTCTATCAACTGGTGAGACTTGACTCTGGAGATGTTTCCCTTCCCTAAAAGGGAAAGTGACGTCCAGTGAGTATTAAGGAGTATTAAGAGATGGAATCGTGTTCATCTGCAACAGTAACTGCCTCCATCATTCTCTTCATGTTGGCGTTGGCATTGTCAAAAAATATCTGTGCTTGCCATCCTCCTCTCCATTTCCTTCTTACCCATCCACTCAACTTGTCCCTCAAGTCACTACATAAATATAAATATATTTTATATAGATATATATAGAGAGGGAACTATCACAAAACTTCTCACTGTAAATTATGTATCAGCCTTCAGCCTGTCTGTGTAATTTAAGTACAGCAGGGTGGGACCTCTGTGTCATTCTCTGCAACTATGAACACACCAGAATACTGCCCTCACAAACACTATCTGACTTCTCAGGCTTTGTCACAGTACAGGAGAAATGGAGAGAAGAGGCAGTGTCTAAAACTGCACGTAAATCAAGTGTCAATATCATCACATGTAGAAACACAACAGGGACAATTCATACTCATGCCAGGACTGTTCAGAAACTGGCTTCAAGATGAGGTACACTGAAGAGCAAACACAAGAGGATACCCTGCAGTTTCTGCTACTACAGCTGGCATTAGCTACTTAAATTCACTTTCTTGTACGTCTTGAAAAAGTCGTAACTTGGTTCTTTATAGCATCATAACTTTAAAATGCCTACTATGTACTGCCATGCCATCGAGCCTACAAGCTAGTAACTTTGTCTTGGTACATTTGGAACTTTAAAGAAGTATAAAAAACATTAATATAGCACAAGTGAGTCTTCAATCAAGAATTGTCACACTTGAAATTCAAAACATGTTCCATGTGAATGAATGTTATTAGAAGTTGTAAACACGACTATTGAAGTGAACTAATAGCATTAATCGGCATTAATCACTAGAGCAAAATGTTTTATCACCTAGGAACAGAGATGAACAGCAAGTTTCCGCATTCATGCTGTTTACTTACAAGGCCTTCAAAGAGCTGGTTATGTTCTTCTTATAATAGGCACATCAACACCAACGACTAGACCATGGCACGCTACAGTTCTCCCCAGAGCTCCTCACAATAGAAAAGAGCTGCAACCAAAAGCACTGATACTCAAAACAATTTATTTCTTTTAAGCCTCCTGGGAATTCGCACGAATTTCCCAGAAACCCAAAGATAATCCTAATCTACTCTTGTAAAATCAAGACACTGATTGGCAAAGATGGAGTGAGAGTAGCAAACACCACAACTACCAACTGTCTAATGTGTGGAACTGGAAAGCTGGCACAGAGGTGATGCATGTGCTCCTGCAATTACATTCCATGGTCCTTTTGTGTCTTGTTTCCCAGTAAAAAAGCTGGGCAGATATTGCTTCTACCCCATTTCTTCTATTACTGCTTTAAAAGATGCCCCCTTTCAAACTGCTGGTGCATATATGCACACAAGCACCATCTGACCTAGCAGAGCAGACTCTGTAGTAAGGAAAATGACATACCCATTTTGAAAACAGGGTTTTATTGAAACTTATCAAAACCGTCTGAAATGTAACACAGGAAAGGCACTTCAGACTTTCGTCTTTTTCTTTTTTGCTTTGGGTTTTTCTGACAACTGAGATAACTCACTTTCTTCAACTTCATCACAATGTTTTCTTTTCTTTTTCTTTGACTTTTTATGGTCACTTTGGTAACCACTAGAGTCACTGGTAGGCAATACAAGTTCCTGTTCTCCTTGCTTGTCCTTTTTCTTTTTCTTCTTCTTCTTTTTATCATCACATACTCCATTCACCACATCAACACTTTGCTCTTCTTCATTTTCCCTCCCAAGGTTACTCGTCTCATTTAAAGGCTCTTCTGTGACATTATCTTGCCCACAGTCATTCAAGCCATTTTCCTGCTGGTCAAGCTTTTGAATTTCGTCCCCATTTGTAGTTTCAGCGACTGTGTTAGATTTTTTGGGCCGCATGCTGTAAAGAAATATACAAAATAAACTGGATTAGAGACACATTAGGGCCACCTCACATAGTGAAATGTCAAAAACTGCTAAAACATGTATTACACCAAGCAGATAAAAGACAAATGCTTGCTAAAATCAACAACAAATGGAGAACACGATACTCTGTGTTACAGAGAATCATAACAGTTAATATTCTCAGGATAATTTCTATTACCTTACTAGCTTCCTTCTTACCACATAATAAATACTCTCTTTTGAATCTTAGCCTAAATTTCTTCTCTAAAGTGCCAATGAGATAATCTGATATATCCTCATTTCTTGTACTTCTTCATCCTCTAATTCATAATTACACATTGTGTAGTTTTTTGGGTTAAGTCTTTCACAAAAACACACAGCTAGTGGCCTATTCAGGCATATATGAGGCACACTGCACCCCCCCCCCCATCCGGTACTTTGCAACCAAGAGCACTGGAGAAAATGTCTAAGAAGACAAATAGGGAAAAAATGCAGTTAAAAACTATGGAGGTTTTTATGTCCCCAGAGGCACTGAAGACAAAATTGCTAACTTTCATTGTAAATTCACTGAAATAATCCAGAGCATCCTTCCAGATTAAAAAAAGAAAAAACTAACAAAAAATGCTATGAATTTGCCAGTAGGAGCCATGTTATACATTTAATAAAAAACAAAACCATGTTGAAAGAAAAACATTGCTCAGTAAATCACTGTTTTAAAAGAAAAACGTGAATGAACTCTTCTGAAGACAAGTTTTCTTGTGAGGTGCCCTATAAATTTACAGAGGCCTAAGGAGGAAGTTGACAACTTCTTTAATCTTTGAAATTCTCATGTTTCAGCATGTATTTAAGTAATGTATTTGTCATCATACAATACATATGCACGTGTTTGCACAATGTAACCACTGTGTTCAGGACCCCTGGACTGTTTGTACTTGGAAAGCCCATGCACAAAGCTGCTTTTAGACACCTGGATGTGCTATTTGGGGCACGTATTATATATGCAATCAACAATTCATAGGTCAACACGCTCCAATTTTTAAAGCTCAAGAAACACCTAGTTTTACTTTTTCCAGAGAAAACTTCAATGGGAGTCCTAAAGAGTGGAAAGCTTAATTTAAGATAACATAGATAGATAGACAGATAGATAGGTAGACAGATAGTCACATGTATAGTGATGTAGTTATATAGTTATATAGGCATTTGTGTAAAAGGAAGAAACCTGAAAGATTAAGATGTCGCAAAAATCACCTAGCTTGCAAAAAATGTATTAAATCAGTTGAAAATATTCTCTATTAAGGCACTGTACCTGCTTTTAGTGAGTCCTCCTCGAATGAAGAACACCCCAGCAGTATCAAAATCCAAGTGCAACACTTGAAATTTCAGTTCATCCCCTATTTTAAATCCCAGCTCTTGCCACTGTACAATAGACATTTGTTCAGGCTTAGGGATAGAGGCATTGAAGCATCCATGTATGAGGCAGCCAATATGACTAGGGGCCACTTTATTAATTACACCCTAAAAAAGAAAAAGAACATCATGCAAGTCTATAGCAAAAATCAGCCCTTTCAGTGCACACCCTTTAAATATTTAGTTTTCTATATGGAAAGCTTACAGTAGGAGTTTATATACAAGTTATGAAGTCAGTTTATCTAGCAAGAAGTTAATGCTCCTTCACTAAAATCAAAGCCATTCCAGTAAACTCTTCATGCACTTCCTCTGAAAACAGAACTGAACTGCAAGAGAAGTCAAAACATGGTATTTATCTGCAGTGAATACCTGAATAGAGTAGGTAACTCTTTCCTTACGCTACAGTGATCAACTTTGCTTTGAAGCCATTTTAAGTCTGATTTACTTCCTAAAATGTTCTTCAAGCTGGCACAGCAGTACTTAGCAGCTGAAGATAAGGAAGACACGTAAAAAGCTTCTAAATACTCCATTCAGTGGGTTTCTGACACATCTGCCTATGAAACTATATCCACCATTGTTCTACTCATAGAATTAATAACTGACACTGACAATTTTTCTATTCTCTTCACAGGAAGATGGCACATTCATCCTCAAACACAGTTATAAAATCAGCAGCTGTGCTGCAAAAGGTATGGTACTATAATGAATGCACGGTAGCTCTCAACGTACTTTACCCACAGGTACTGAGCAAGAGTTTTGACAAGCTTAAAGCCGTTCTGTGAGCCATTCACCTCTTTACTGAAAGGCAGGCTCCAACTCGATGTACAGGTCTTGTGCTTTAAGGAACTGAATTCTCGAGAGCATCCTAACCATTCCTGTCACTATAACAAATGCACCTGTTTGAGAACTACCTGCTCTTCAGAAAGGAGCACTGGCATGATATACACAGTTTTAATACACTGTTAAATATGTAATTCTTATGATACAATGCTGCAGTAATATTGTAGTAATATAGTATATCTATATAGACACGGACAAAATAGATAAATTACAGTAAAAAGTACTAGTACAAACTACTTATAAATTGTCATGAACTACTCATAAATGAATAAGCTAACATAAACTAAAACATGTCCTAAGAGACATATTTTATGTCTCCTAGGAGACCCAGACCCAGACCACTTAATGTCAGAAATAAGCCAAGCTTTGACCACTTAATAAAAAAGGCCGGTCCCGTGAGACGCCAAGGCGTTCGCATACCACCAGCTTCTTCCCCTTCTTGGGGCTGAAGATGATGAAGTCGGCCTCGATGTTCAGGTGGATGAATCCCTGGTCGTCGTAGATGTCGCCGAGCTCTCCCACCACTTTGATGTTGTCGTAAGCCACGGGCACACCCTGCAGGCTGGAAGGAAAGGAGAGGAGGGCACGGTTAGCTGCCGGCCCGAGTCCCCCCGGCCCCCGGGCACCATTCCCGCACGCCGCACCTCTCGGAGTAGCGCAGGAGCTCGGCGTCCAGCTGCGCGCGGATGCCGGAGCGCTTGCGGCCCAGGAAGCGCGGGGGCAGCGCCACGTGTCGCCGGTGCGCCGCCGCCACCAGGCACGAGTGGCGCCGCGCCGCCAGCGCCCGGGCCGCGCCCAGAGACGGGGCGGCGGCGGCGGGGGGCGGCAGCGCCGGGGCGGGCGGCGGCTCCCGCGGCACGGCCATGCAGGGACACGGGGCTCGCCGGCGCGCCGAGATGGCGTCAGGCGCCTTCCCTCAGCCGGGGCGGGCCCGGCAGCGGCAGTGACGGAGTTCCGTGGGGTGGGGTGTGTTCGCGTTCGCAGGGGCGTTTCGCGCCGCCGAGAACGGCGTCGTTGTTTAACTCTTTCCAAGCCGTTTTACATCGCGGAAGCACGGAATATTCCGAGTCGGAAGGGCCATCGAGTTCGGCTCTTAAGCGGACGGCCCGTACGGGGATCGAACCCGCGGCGCTCGGCCCTCCGGCCCGCAGCCCTGCCGCGCTCCCGGGAGCCCAAACCCAACACGTCTTCCCTTGGACAGGAGAGGGATTACTGTGACCTTAAATTTAAATTGCACATTTGGTGATTCGAACAAAAAAATGCAATGGCAAATTACCGTAGTGACGTTCTTTATATACAGCGGTTTTAAGAATACAGACTTTGTCTTCTGTTGTTAGACCCCAGATCCAGTTTGTGCATACGCTGAGAAATGGTGAAGTGCGTTTAATAACCACAGACTGAGGAGAACAAAAATAAATACAAGTCCTCAAGAGGGTTGCTGGTGCATTCTACACTGCAGTTGCTTGCAAAGTGAGTTGCGGTACTACAAGCAGAAACCTTGTCCAGTTGTAAATGATGACATTTGTGGTTGGTTAGTGAAGATATTGTCCAGAAAAGTAACTCAGACTTTATATCCAGACAAAGCAGCACAGTATGATTTTACTTTAAACTGATCCAACTGAAACTCATGCAAAACTTTGAAAAGGTGTTCTCTCATGGATTTAAATCTAATTTATATCAACTTAACTTGTTATAGTAAATGTACACTTTCAAACTGATTGAATCCACATGGGGAACAAAAAAAAAAAATAAATTGATGTATCGGTTTCATTAAAGGTGTTAAAATTTCTTTTATACTGTGGAGGGCTCAGACACACTGTTGTTTTGTGAAAACGAGCCTTACGTCACATACCAGAAATCCTTGAACTCCCTATAAAACATTTAGTGATGCAAAAGCCTTTGAAACTACTTAAATACTACATCACCAGAAAGTTTTCTTTGACTGAACATACTGTGAAGACAGGACATTGTTAGCTTTCACAAGTAAAACAAATGGTATAATTTGCAGTACTTTACTGCAAGTAAAGTTGGATTAGTGTGAAAGAACTGACATAAAAATGGCTTTCAGATGTCATACCGAACTCCAAAATTGAAAGAGAAAATGTCTTGAACTACTGTAATCTGTATTCCTATGTGGCTTTAGTCCTCCAAGGTATTTAATGCCTGTTGAAATTAATTTTATGTTATATGGTCTCAGCTTTCTGGAAAAAATATTGTATTTTTTATTTCAACTATTTGGATCATATTTAAAGGTTGCAATGTGCTTTCAATCTTGGTTAAAGACCTTAAACAATAACTGCATGCACTTCTACTCCTAAAAGAAATATATGTTTTATAACTCTTATTTATGAGTGGATTGAGTTTGCAATGAGAACATATAATACACTAAGGGCTCTACTCAGTTTTATCCAGCATAATAAAAACCTACCTTTGCTCTTAAAATAAAAACTAAGAATAAGATGGAAAGGCAGCATGACCATAAAAAAAATGTGGACCTCTGTCTTTCAGCCTGTAGTCAGGTTGGCCAAGGTGGTGTCAGAAGGGCTCTGTCTCTCAGGGCCTGCAGCTATCCAAGGGTATCCCCATGGACTTCTGTCACCAGAAAATTCCCTACAGAGGTCGAGTCTGTACTTTCTAATTGAATCTCCATTCTTCCCTGCTACTGTGCCTGGTTTTCATTGCACAGTGCTCTTGGGACTTCCAGATTTCCTTTCAGGCTAAAGTAATCAGGAGAATGAACTTTAAATCCGAATGGTTGTTAAGTCTGTGTGGTAGGCCAGAGATAATTCAAAATAGCCTGTTTGAAAACTTTAACTCTAAATACCTGGCCTCAGCACCAGATGTTTTTCTCTGCAAGTCCACACCTGTCAGGTCATGCTGCTTGCTGATGCAGCATGGTCTGCCTATACCAAAAGCAGTGTTGTCTTGCAGTCTTGTAGAGACTTCAGACCCATGGTACAAGTTGGACTCACTACCTCTCTGTAAAAGATACTCTGATGAAAGAAGTAGTCTCAATCCAAATGCCACCTCCTCCAGCCACAGATCAATACTTAAAACTATGTGGACTGTAAGACTTAAATCCTGATATCCCTACATTCATTTCTTGACTTCTTTTTCTTCCCTAGTTGTATATCTTTCTACTTCTTGATGTTAGCTTTTAGCTTAAAGAGTCTGTTTCGGCTGATCTTTCAGCAGCACTGCAGTGAGCCTATGTCCAAAAAGGCAGCTAAAATCAATGTCTAAAACAGCATAGCTGTTGGTATGTTTGCCAAGTCCCACAGTGGCTGATAAGACTGTGCTGAGCCTGTTTTTCTCTAGAGGTCAGGTTGCAAGTAACAACGGGGACCAAACCCAAGAGCTGCATTTGCAGTCACTGCTGTTTTTCCTGTTTCATCTGGGTTTGTCTTGCTTTCTCTGTGAAAGGAAGGCCAGATTCCAAAAAGGAGATTCTTTGACAACCATAACTTCAGCTCCTCTCAGCTGGTCTTTTCTACCCATACAGTCACTGCCATCTCGTATCCAGGTTTCTGAATTGGCAGTGTTCCATGTATGTTGGGTAGAAAGTTCATCCAATTGCTTATTGCTTCTGTGTTGTGGAAGGTGCAACTCATTCATTCAGAGGGTGGCTGTCATCCAGCCTTAAAATCCTGGAAGGCTCAGTTGTGACAAAATATAGTGCATCTCATGCAGAGTGGAAGAATGCTGGCAGCAGCATGCTGGAATAGAAAATACACTCCCCCTTAGGACTGTGTGCCCAAAGGAATTAGTGTATTTTGAAATTTATTCCATTGCAGGTTCCTTATCCCACAGTTCGCACTCTATAAAAAGGATAAATGAAAAAATGCCTCGGTTGCATAGGTTGGATATGGTACAAAACTTGTGCTCTGGATTTTTTTTCAAATATTTTTAGCTGGCTTCTCCTTTTCAATTTGTAACCCTTCAGTACTTCTAATGACAGTTCTTGCTGTCATACTTAGAAGGAATAATCAGTACTCAAACCCTCAGTTTTGTTTTTGAAATTGTGTGGTAATAGGTTTGCTTCAATATCTTTGACTCTCATGTCAAATAGAGACTAATGCTAGCATTGAGGTCATTGAGAACTAATAAATGCCGTTGAAGATTGTCAGCTTGTGGTCCTATATATGGAATTCTGTTAGGCTAGTTTTGTGTAAGTTATTTTTGGGAGGGTGACCATTCAACTGTGTATAAAATCTATCAGTGCAAAGGGTTAGCTAAAGTTTACAACAGTTACAATAGTAAAGGCTCGTTTGACTGCAAATGTGAGAGGAATTAAGTTATTATTGTCAGGCAAACATTAATTTGAGCAAATACAGGACGATAAGGTGAAACTATCAATGGCCAAAAAGGTAGATACTCCTGACAGTGTATCAAGACTCTCTTTATTTGTACTTAAACAAAATGTACCAAATGCTGAAAGTCCACCAGATGGCACACAAAAGCCTTGGTACGGAAAAGTGCCGTCATCCAAGAGAACAAGTGGAACTGCATGCCTGGCTGAAAATGTAATCTGTTCTACGCTATGCAGACTCTGCTTTGTTTTGTCAGCAATTAGTAGGTCAATCTCTCATAGCTAGGAAATTACTTAGAAAAACATTAAGGGAAAGAAATACGATAAGACAGCAATTATGTTAATTTCTTTCAGCTAATAATTTGTCTTGATTTGTAGTGACATTGATGATGCAAGGACAAAGAGCAGTTGGAGTGAGCCCACAGTAGGGTCACAAAGATGATCAGAGGGCTGGAGCATCTTTCTGTGAAGACAGAGAATTATTCATCCTGTAGAAGAGAAGATTTCAGGAAGACCTTACAGCACCTTCCAGTACCTAAAGGGACCTACAAGAGAGCTGAAGGGGGACTTTTTACAAGGGCATGGAGTGGTGGGGCAAAGGAGGAATGGCTTCAAACTAAAAAGGGGTGAGCTTAGATTAGATATGAGGAAGAAGTTCTTCCTTGTTAGGGTGATGAGGCACTGAAACATGGTGCCCACAAAAGTTGTGAATGTCCCTTCCCTGGAAGTGTTCAAGGCCAGATTGCATGGGACTTTGAGCCAATGGAAGGAATCCGTCCTCACAGCAGGAGGAGCTGGAACTAGACAATGTTTCAGGTCTCTTCCATCCAAACAATTCTGCTATTCTAGTCTTGGGATGGACGTCTTCAACCAGTTGGGGATTGACTAGATTTGCCTTTGGCCTTTGATTCTCTAAGTAGGTTATTGTCTGCTGGGAAATGGTTGGTACGGCTTGCAGTCAATCTTGTGGAGATAAAATATCTTGTCTATAAAAATATTACTGAAAGACCTATGTTCAAGTAGCTCCCTGGCCTTATATCTGTAGAAATAAGGAACCTGATGTAGGATGCCTGGTTCTGACTTGTGGTGCCTCTCTCCAGTTCTACTTGAAGGCATAGTTTCAATAGCAGAGACACCATGACCTGTGGAGGTCTGACTGTTGGTCTAATACTGAGACTCTCCCGTGTGTTTCCAGCCAGTGAATGAAGTGTTGATAGTGGATTAAATAATATGATAACGTGAACTTTCTCATAGAAACAAGAGGTGATGTTGCCACAGAAACAAGGGAGGAAAGCAGCCTGTGCTACTGTAAGAGCAGTAAGGCTTTTCTGCAGCACTGTGAATACTTCTGATGAATGATGCTAACAAATGAGATGGATGCTTAGGTTGTAAATGGGGTAAATGAAGTGTCTTTTGACAATCTGTCTGTGCTATTTTGCAGTTTATACTCTGAGAAACTTCTAGCAACCTTTTACTCTGGTGTTTTTAAAATCGTCTGGAAAGATGGGAATTAAGGATCCACAGGGGATTGCCTCCAGAAAAGTCAGCTGCTATTA